TTATAAATATTTTAAGTTAATTTTCTATATTTTTAATATTATTCATATACTGTAAATTTATTTTATACAATCGGTATAATTGATAGTAGTAGTCTTGATTGAAGAATCTATTTAGGGATGGAACTTCATAATAGAAGAAAATAAAATTTAAAAATTATAATTTGTTTTGCTGCACTTTTAGTTTTGACTTCCTAAGTTTTATTTTTAAAAAATGTTGATGTACGTTGATGTACTCAGACTATCAAGGATTTGATAAACAATTATTGACAAGTTGATAAATAATGGTTATCTATAAATATAATTTTTTTGTATTAAACTATAATTATTTGTTCAATTTTCGTTTCTAATAATTGCTCTGAATTACATGTTATTTGTTAAACTAGAAAATACCAAAATTTTCAGAAAAGTATTAAATTGTATAAAATTGTATAAAAATATCATATCATAAGGATAATTTTATAATTGAAGATTTCTACTTTAGTAGAAGACAATATTATTATTGTTAAAAATGTTATTAAATAACGTTTGTAAAAAATAATTGGTAATTTTTCTTAAAGTGTTAATTAGATTCTAGTTCACATTAGATATTTATTAAGCCACCATTAAATTGTATTATTAAATACTATTCAGTTTCAAAAATATATTTAAACAATCATTCAATGAACTTTAAATTTCAAAAATATTCTTAAATAGTAAAATCTAAATTAATATTAACATATTGGTAAAAACAAGTCAAAATGTTAAACGTTAGTTTAAAATGAACATATTAATATATGAATAATTATAATATCAGTCAACAGAGTTATCTAGTGGCGAAGATTGAGTTAAGAATGCAAACAATATTAAAACGTAATACCTAGGTGACGCTTTAACCAAATGATGACAATAGTTATGTAAATCATTTTTAACATAAAATACCATTACGTATTAATGGTATTATTAATGTATTTGCTGGAAGTTGAATTATAGTGTCAATAATGTTCTGATAAAATTTCGTTGTTACCGATTATGCTAAAGAAAGTTTACTTATAATAAATTTTTTATCGATCACTAACATAGTTGCTATCAATTAAAATGATTATATTATTCTAAAAGCTATAAAAAAAATAAAAATAAATTAATATTGGATATTTAATGTTAGCCAGAGGTATATACGTTTAAATTTGAAAACGATGAATTATAATCACGTTTTAAAAATAATTCAGAGTGAAGTTATATGTTATATTTCAAATATTAAATATTTTATTGAATAATAATAAAATGTATAGTAAATATTTGTGAAAATAATTATCTTTGTCAATATCAAGTGTTTGAACGCTTGTGAATTGTCTTATGCATTCATTTAGATTTTAAACACTATATAAAAAATTACCAAATAGAGTAGTACATAAAAAACATTTTTTAAAATAAATCTAAATGATAAAAAAAAAAAATAATAAATAATAGAAATAATTTACTATAACTCTCAATTTTTCCCACTTTGGAAAACATTCTATTTAGATCTATAACATGAAAATTCAATTACAGAAATATAAAATAATATAATTGTATAAGCAAAATGTTTCTTACTTCACTCAAACTTTTAAATCGTTCAAATGAATGTATTCAATAATATTGATAATTTATTAAAAAAAAAATAAATGTTAATTTAAATAATAATTAAGTTGTAAATAAATCGATGAAATAAAAATTGTAATTAGATATTCGAAATAATATAATGTACAAAAAATTACACCTTTAAAATAATTACGCAGAAAATCTGAAATTAAAGGTTAGCATTGTACTTAATTTTATACATAAATAATTATACTTTATTTTATTTTATTTTTATGGGTGGAATTTGCCCGGTAGATCATACGTAATATCAGTGCTTACAATAAATGGTTATTAATGTAGCTTAATGTAATTTACATAGCTCATAATAAAAAAAAATATATATATATAGTATTAATAATAATAATAATAATTGTAAACAATTATTATAAAAATAATAATAATAGTAATGCATGTTTTTTTTATTATAAGTTTATTTGTGCATCATTTTGGAATATACCTAACCCTATGCAATATAATAGCATGACATGAGTGTTAGAATGTAGGATTTTTTATATTAAAAGAAGCATATTTCTGTATGATGATAAGAATTATTCTTTAATGTGTGAATATAAAAAATTGTTATGTATTATCATTGATTATATAATAGACAAATAGCCCACGGTACAGGGGTTTTCGGATACAGACTGCCGATAGGTAAAGTTACACGAATGAACACATAATTTTTCTATATATATTCGATCCGGGTAGTTTTTAAGGGGTTGAATATAGGCAATTTTTTATACGCGTGCGTGAACGCCATGAGAGTGTGTGCGAAATAAATAATCACTAATATGTGTAATGATAGAGAATTAAAATGTATGTGATAAAATATAAACGGACAATAAGCGATAATGGATAAACTTATCATATAAGACTACGCGGTGGAAATGAATAAACTCATAATCGTAGGTACCTGCTTATCTGGCCAACTGGTAATTTAATATAAGTTTAAAATAGAAAGATAAAATAAATAAAAACAAAAATATTAAAAGCAATGTTCATTGTATTCTCTGTTTATAGAATTTTGGATTTTAAAGTACAATTTAATTTTAGTGTGGGCCGCACTAAATATGTTAAAGGGCCGCGTAGTGGAGACCGCTGGTATAAAGTATATGCATCCATAACAATACTGGAGCGCGTACGCTGATACTGAAAACGAGCCAAGTTTATAGTCGCTTCCACCACTGCAGAGCAAGAAAATATACCGACATATAGTTAACATATTATTAACTGCGATTCGGATTTCGTGTTTCGACATCTTGTTTGAGTTAGACTTTAAACTATAGTTGCATTAAAAGTTAAAACGCGTAATAGTCATAATTTACATAATTATTAAACAATATAAATATGGTTATATCATGCTCAGGGCATGGATGTACAAATAGGTGAAAAAAAGAAAATGGATCACATTTTTATCGGTAAGAGCAATACATATTTTTATCAAATAATAAAATCTTTTCCCAACATTTTCAATAAACACACTACTCATATAATTTTAGATTTCCTAGTTGCTAAAAGATGAAGCTGTTCCATCAGTTTTCAAATTTCCTCAACATTTACTAAAAAAACAAAAAACTAGTCGTTCATTAAAAAAATCTACACTAAGTATAGTTTATAATATACATATCATGTGCTACTATTATTTAATTTACTGTATTATTTTTACAGCTACTGACTTTTCAATTAATTTAAATATTCGTACTCTATAATTATTAATAGTGGTATAATAAATTATTATTAATACCTACCAAGGTATAAGTAATATATTATTTATCATATAAATATATTATTTTTAAATTTAATGTTCTAAATATATTCAATTTGTTTATTTTTTTTATTTTATGAACCCTTAGGTATTCTCTAATGTTTATAAAATAATCACTCCTTTTAATTTTAAAGGATGACTGAAGGAGTAATTAAATTATTTAGATTATTTATAAAAGTTGGATTATAATATAATTATTAATGTTTAAAGGTAACTGGTAAGTAGTAACCACTACTATTATAATAAAATAATAAAATAATATAATAAAATAGAGTAGTTTTTTTTTAACTTTTTTTTATCAATTTGATTTGTATAATTTCAGAATTTTTATATTTTACATTTTATTTTTCATAGTTACTCAGTTTTATTTTCATATGGCAAACCTCCATGACATTTAGAATTACAAATTCTATTAATTTCTATATAGGTACATATTTTTTAAAATAAAATTGGAGAACATTAATAAAGTTTGTAAATCAAATCCTTTCCTATGTCAAAATTATTACTTACCAGTATTAGCATTATTATATATAGGTGATGCTGTTGTAGTATCTGAGATCACCTTTGGTATCATAAACCGATTTAACGATCCAGCCAACTTTTTCTTTTGCTCTTCTCTTTGTAGTTTTAATTTTCTTTTTGCATATCCACTCGGAGGAGCCATTTCGAAGTTAGGATAAATATATAAAATAAAATTTATAAAATACGTACCTATAAATTGTACGGGTACGCGCGGGAGTGGTGAATATTAAAATTATTAACAATATTGACATGTGTACCGCACAACCGTATACACCGTATACATCTATTTCTGCGTGCGAGCGTCCGACTATTCTATGAATCAACCTAATATCTCCGATCGAATACTAAAAATAGACATACAACAGTCACTGTTAGATAAGATAAGACTAACTTGAAACGGTACCACCGTACTAGACACTAGTCTATCTTATAATGTAATAGTATAGTTTTCAAAAGCAACCATTTCCTAATCCACGGTGGCTTATTAAATAATATAAACTATGACTATTCTGCTTTAACTGGTAACATGTTTGTTGCAAGTTGCAACAAAACATAATAACATATATTATAATATTATATATTTTATTCATAAACACATATTAATATATTATTATCTATATCAGTTTCTAATTTTCTATGTAATAATTTTAAGTATTAATATCAATTAAAGAGGGCCCCTTCGGAACCCCCTAAATTATCTACTGGAGGTGCAATGCACCCCTGCACCCCCGGTAGTTGCGGCACTGCGCCAAATTGGCCACGCCAAGATGTCCTAGACTCCACATTTGGACAAATATTATGTTTTCAAATTAATTTTAAATTGTTTTTATATACTGTGCATAAATATTCAGATGATGCACACTTTTTTAAAATTCATCTAAAAAAATATTATAAATATTCATGGTAATAAACCTATACATTTAATAACAGATGTTTCAAACGCGTTGAATAAATAAAAAAAATATTTAAATCAATACCTATATAAAAATTATTATACTAACAAATTGTAGTAATGAATTTATACAAAATAGATTAATAAATCAATAGAAAAACAAATAATTAAAACAATAAAAGCCTCGGCTTTAATTAATATAGAAATTATTCTCAATCATTTTAAAAATTGTGTTCAATTTATTTTTCAAAATGATGAACACTCGAGTTAATTCATTTTATTATTTTTTTCTAGCAACTTTACATTTATGTACGGATAGTATCAGTAAGTAAAAATCACTGAATCATATCATATTTTTATATTTTAAATACTATGTAAGAAGTAAATATTCATTAGAAATATTATGAATAATTTATTATTATTATTAATATAACTATGCAATAATCGTCTTTTAAAAAAATTAAACTAGTGTACTGAACTCTCATACTTCAAATACTAGACCACTTGCTGGTTTTATATAATATATGCGAATTCCTTAGTAAGTTTAACATAACAAATGTCTTTGCAAAATGTTTGTACTTTATTGTATATATCAATATAAAATCTATATATCAATTCTTAATATAAACATTTTTTAATATATAATAAATAATTTATATATTTTACTGAACAAGTTAACTATTTATTATTAATTTTAATATTTAGTTATAATTAACTAATCTAACTCAATATTCAAAGAAATATGAAAAATATCAAACTTTTTATGGATGAATATATATATTATAAAAAATATATTTAATGTTAGTTTTGAAATTTTGTACATTGTAATTTAAGCAATAAAGATAAAAATTAAAAAAATTATACGCATTCAGGTAATATGATTATTTTCATTGCCTTATTTACACCGAATAAATAAGCGAAACGTCCATTATCATGAATATGAACGATATTAATACTTCAACTCAGGGCTGGCAAATTGGGAGATCGGGAAATTTCCCGATGGGCCGATCGAATAATCGAATTATGGGGCCGGACAATTTGGTTGTACAAGTAACTTATTACAACTTTTAGATTATAATAATAGTTTTTCAGTTTTTGGTCTATTTTACTCGTTGAGTGTCTCGATGTAATCGACATGCGTTGCCCGTGCAGTGTTGGGATATATCTAAGATAAAATTTTTACTTATCTAGATAATTGTCTGAATTTTCACCAAGATTAGAGTTATTTTTATTCTTATATGGAGACGAATCCAATAAATCAGAGGTTATCAAAATCGGTCCAACCATTCTTGAGTTATAAATTCTGTAACTAACCTGAATTGTTTTTATATATATAGATTTTGTATTCATAATTATAATTCGTGTATTATTAATAAGTAATTATTAATTTTTGGTATGACATTTTGTTTGAATTTTCATATCGGAAAAATATTTTTGGTATTTTTAAACTTAATTTTTTATTTTTCCAAGGAAGTTCCAAATATAGTTATTATTATTATATATATATGATTTTAGTATACACACGTAACTCATACGCTGAATATTCATACACTTACTCTTGGAACACGTAAAGCCGTAACTACTTATAGAATAAAAATCATCAAATTAAGATCATATGGAAAACAATATTGTTAACTTAAAATAATCTCTTATGTATCGGTAGGCATCGGAAGTGGAATATTATGAAATAGATTAAACCGAAGGTTTGACAATAAGGGTATACGGGTTACAAATACGAGATTTTGCTAAATGGGGTGTCACCGGTTTCCACCAAAAATTAGCTTTCCGTTTTCCACCAAATTAAAAAAAATGTCATTCCTTTTTCCGCCAATTATAAATTATAGGATTTTAAAGTTTGGGAACCCCTTAAAGTAAGTATTTAATGATATTATTTTACCAATTAAAAAAAAAAAACCAATACAAATATATTATATTATTATGAATTTATGAATTATTAGCAATCTCACAAACATTTTTACAACATCAATTTGCAATAGTTAATAACATCGCATATCCTCAATACATATATATAGAATGTTCATAGTAGGTACTACATTTTGCACAGTGGGTAGAGAGGTAATAGTTGCCAAGCAATGCATAAAGTATCTTGTACTAAACATCGATTCCAAGCTAAAGTTTACGATTCACGCTAAGCAAACAGCAGTAAAAGCAAATAAGGTGGTCCAGAAAATCAGTCACATACTACCAAACATTATTTTGGGCAACCCAAAGAAAAGAAAATTAATTGGCAACGTTGCAACTTCAATACTTTTATACGGGGCCCCAAATTGGGCGAACTCTATGAGCAAAACTGGAATAAAAGAGCACCACAAAGTCACCAGAAAGACAAACTTGAGGGTAATATCAGCATACTCGACCACCTCTGCAGATGCAGCCCAGGTCTTATCCGATACTCCTCCGATAGACCTAATGGCCACCGAACGAAAAGACATGTACCTGCTGAAAGCCACGGTAGGAACGGTGGAAACCCGTAGAGAAATCAAGGAAAAGACGATGTAAGCGTGGCAAGCAAGATGAGACACATCCCCAAGGGGAAGATGAACACACCAGCTAATCCCTAATATAGAAGCTTGGATTAAGAGAAAATATGGCAATCTGAACTACCATTTTACGCAAGCCGTTACGGGACACGGCTGCTTTGCTGCCTATCTGCATAAAATAGGTAGACTTGCCTCCTCAGAATGCTGGTACTGCGGAGAAAATGATGACGTCCACCACACACTTTTCGTATGCGATGCGTGGTTCGGAAGAAGATCCAGAATGTGTACTCCTATCGGGACAGACCCAACCGCTGCAACATTGATACCACTTATCCTAGAAACTCCTGAAAAATGGAACATAATCAGCAATTTCATAATCGAAATCATCTCGAAAAAAAAAGGAGAAGAGAGAAAAAGATAAAAACAAGGCGAAGCAAGATGAAGCAAGGTGACCAACACCAAACTATCGTAGTTAAAACAATTATAATATGGGCCGAAGGCCAGCCTAACTCAGGGCGGCTAAAGGCCCCCACTTTTGTATAAATAAAACTGTGCAAACATTGTAAACACAAAGTATTAACAATAAACGATAGGGTTGGGGGTGAAATGACCCTAGTCAGTACCACCCCCATCCTCGATAGAATGTAAAAAAAAAAAAGATACTGCATTTTGCACAGTGGGTATAATTTTATCGTCACACTTAGTTTTCTTACTGATAATAGTATTTTATATTATATAATATAGTGTTTTTACCCACATCTTTATATCTATGTTAATAATATCTAATTTGATAGGGTACTGCAATTTGTTCGATTGTCGGTAATAATATAGTATTGAATAGTAACCACCGATTAGTGTGTGATGTTCGTTAACCAAGATAAGTTAAAGTCATGTCCGCAAAAATAATTGTTAGTTAGTAAACGTGACAATCCACAAATTATAATTAATAGCTTTAAATTTAACAAAGCATACGAAGGAGTAAATAAAGTGCGTTGGAGGTGTATTAATAAATCATGTAAAGCAAAAGTATTCACAAAAAAAAATTTTATAATGAAATATTGAACACGGAAAATGAACATAATCACAAAGCTGTAAATGAAAATACCATAAATTGTTAAATGTTTAATACTTCATGAAAAAGAAAAGCACTAGAAGACGTAAGTACACGACCAAAAAAAATTATTTTACAAGAATTAATACATAATGAGTGTGCTAAAGAAATAACTGTAAATGACATTAATAGAATTACCAAAACTGCTAATTCAAGATTTACAAACATTCAACTACAATGTATTGGTGACCGACATAATTATAGATTATGGAACAACTATTGATAATGTAATAACAGATGTCAGTCTATCAGCTATAGTTTATAAATCGCTTATAAGTAACCATCGACCAATCATCTAGGTAGACATAGACAATTCCATGAAAATTGAAAGTAATATTAGTGTAGACGATGATGATATTGATAAAAACGATCAAACAACAACCTCTAATCGAATACCTACTTCAACACACGATGCAAATATTACTGAATGTGAGAATATTGAATTAATGCAGATAGAAAACCATAAAAAAGTCCATTCTGTAGCGTACAAGAAATTATAAATATTATTCAAGAAAACATACCAATACAAGTCATCCGGGGATTTTCAAATAATGACAATGTATCATGTTATGCCAATTCGGTTGTATAAATACTGCTCCATTGTGAATCACTTGTAATAAACATCCAAAACAATCATTTGGGATCAACTTTAAAACACTGTTTACAACAATATTGCACTGAAAATACTGTACCTGAAACTACATTAATCAGATCATATTTTACAGACGATATTCAAACATACACGGTCATACAGCAGCAAGACTGTGTACAATTTTTAGAAACTCTCTAGAACCACCATAGAAATGCATTTGATACATTTATAAAAATATAATAATTCGATACACAATATTATATCGATGCCCAATATTAATTTTTTCCATATAATGTTGGCATTACACGGAGTGCACCATGTGGAGGTCATATATCTAGCATCCCTACATTTATAAGAATGTTTGTCCATTTTTACAGAATAAATATGTCAATCAGAATCATTGAATAGTGATAAGTGTAGTGTACATCCCTAAGACTCTATATAGTTTTTTATCTAGAAAAATATATAAAAACAATGAATTAGAATAAACTTATTCTAATTCATCAATTTCCATGTACTTGTCGGAGAATTTGTCTGTAGATATTTATTTTGGAAAAGTAGATATAATTGGTCTAGGATAGCTGAAATAAGATATGTAAGTTCTTAACTTTACATTAAGGAGGTACCGTGTAAAAATCGCATCAATCGTAGTTCCTGATCTTGTTGTTGGTGTCATTGGATCATTATTCATTATTAAATTAAGTTTTTTTTGGAAAAAATGTATAAGTGATTTGGAGTGTTTTGAAGCAAAGTTTACATTAAAGTCTCTACTTAACAACAATG